AGTTAATAATAAAAGGATGTAATAAATAAAAAAAATTTAATTTTTAATGATAAAAAGATATAAATTAAAAAAAAGAACCTTTTTTTAAAGACCCATCCTACCTTCGTCAAAGTGGAAAGATACCCACACAGTCGGTGGTGTGTAGGGATGACAACGGCTCCCCACGTGGGCAACGACCCCTTCCCCATCCCCACCAATGACAGGTACGGGGATTCCCGTGGGGTTTTTGGCGGAAGATCAAAATTTGCCTTCGTCCCCATACCTATGGGTAATAATAGATCCCCGCGGAGAATAATAGCTCTCTGCGAGTATTTGAAATCCTCGCTAAATAAAACTATCCTCGCTAAATAAAACTATCACCTATTCCACTGCTTGTTAATCAAAATTTTCACTACTTGTTAATCAAAATTAAACTCAACATGGCTCTACTTAGACCCCACCGGTTTCTACATTCATCAAATAAAACTAACTCAAATAATCATATAAAGTAAAATTTTGAAATAAGATAAACAAGCAATAAATATACACAATAACATAGTCAATATATACATGTCATTATCAAGCAAGTCCAGCAAGTAAGCCAGCAACAAGTTCATATTTCATAAAGAAAAAAGGCATAAACTGCCATATAAATCCAGCAAATCCAACAAAAGGTTTATAAAAAATAAAAGCATAAATTGCAACTGTCATATATGTTTAGATTCAACAAAGTTGACAGAAAAAAAAAAAAAAAAGCATAAACTACTGCCATACATGTCTGGCAATAAGTTCATTAAGAAAAAGCACATAAAAGAGTCTAGGAAGTGGCACATGCGTACATATTCATCCAATCCAGCAAGGGAAATTCTACAGCAGCAACTTAAGCTAAGCTTGATCAATAATTTCAAGTTAAGGAAATAACTACCTGAAACAAAAACAAATACTCCAAATTAACAAAATTTTAAAAAAGAATCTTCAAAATTTTAAAACTGTAGCTTCAAAAATTGCATCTAATTGATACCTGGAGTTGGACAGTTTGAAAAGAATTCGAGGTAGAGCTGCAGAGGAAGAGGCCACATGACAACAGAATGAGGACGACCTAGCCTTGGAGCTGCAGGTAAGCGGTGGTGAGTAGTGAGCGTTGCAAACTTGTAGTGGTTGTAGTGGTTGTAGTGACGGCACAGTGAGAGGCTGAGAGCTTGAAGGGAATCACCGAATTATAGTTGAGATGGCCACACGACAGCAGAAAGAGGACGACTCAGCCTTGGAGCTGGAGGTGAGTGATGAGCGTTGCAAGGGTTGTAGTGATGGCACGGTGAGAGGTTGAAAGCTTGAAGGGAATCACCGAATCACAGTTGAGATGGCCACACGACAGTAGAAAGAGGACGACCCAGCCTTGGAGTTGGAGGTGAGCAGTGAGCGATGGTGAGAGGTGAGCAATGAGTGGTGGTGAGCGGTGAGCATTGCAGTGGTTGTAGTGACGACATGGTGAGAGGTTGAGAGCTTGAAGGGAATCACCGATTCACCAATTCACAGTTGAGATGAGGACAGAGAGGATTGAGCAAGAGTTACAGCACAGAGTGTGCGTGGCAGAGGAAAGGAGACTAACTGGAGAAAGGAGAGGAATTGCAATTTGCAAGCGACAAGCAAAGAGACTAAAATCTTTGGATAATTGGATTGTTCTTCTGCTTCTAGGTTTGTCTAAATTGGGTTGTAAGTTAGGCTTGGCAATTAGGTTTAGGAATATTAGATTGACAAAAAAAAAAAAAAGGGTTGGCTTACAATTAGATTTGGAAAAATTAAAAAAAGAATGGGTTGTGAAATTTAAGTTATGTTGATATTGGGTTAACTAATTAGATTGAGTAAGTAAAAATTAATTGCTAACATATGTGCAAAAATATATATATACATAAATAAATTTATTTATTTTTATTTTATATAGATCCCTACAGTTCTCCACGGAGTGGAGGAAATTTCTTTTGAAATTTCACGAGGAAAAAATTGCCTCCATCCCCGCTCTACGGGAAAGAATATTCTTGAAATCTCCATCCCCATGACAAGGATCTCTGTGAAACTCCGCAAGTCGCGGAGAAAATTGCCATCCCTAGTGGTGTGTTCAAGCTTCAAACCAAACCCAACCACCTCATTTTTTTTTAACAGACCCAACCACCCCCTTTTTTTTTAACAGATCCAACCACCCCATTTAGTTCTCTAGTTTAAAGAAAAATTATTTTACTGATTAAATTATATCAAATTATAAAATAATTACTCTTTAAAATATAACAAAATGTTAGTTTTTAACTTAACTTGCAAAAATAGTTTTATAAATTTAAATAATTGTTGGTGAATATTTAAATAATTTTACATATATTTTTACCATCTTTTTACGTGTTTACTTAATGTGTAATAATATAAAAGATAAAAATTTGAAACTAA